ATACATTGTATGTTTGTATGTGTGTTTCTAACTATTGTTATTTATTCATATTTGTTCTTTTTTATTCTTTAAAGTTTAACAATTCATTCTTTATCTTAATATCTTTATATTTGTTTGGGGTTGGCTTTCTTCCCATTCATCTTTTTTATTGTACAGAAATCTTTCTCCTCAAACCTACCACCTCTCTCTTTTCTTTCCTTCTTACTTTCTCTTCCCCCCTCTTCTTCTCCTCCCTACTTCCTCTTCCTTTCTCCTTCTCCTCCTCTTTTCCTCCCTCTCTTACCCTCACTCCTACTCTAATTTCCCTTCCCTTCCTTCATCCCTCTCTGTTGCTGTATCCTTTTAGGCATATGGACTACTCAGAGGGCTGAAAAAGTTATTTTTGACTGGTCCTCACACTTTTGACCAGTCCTCGAACTTATGACTGTCGTCACATTTTATGTTTTTGCCCTATCTTGTCACCATGGTGAAGAGAAGCAGTTGTGAAATGAGTGACACGGTTGTTAAGAATGCTACAATGGGCATAAATGATGATCAGTCATAAGTGCGAAGACCGGTCAAAAGTGCGAGGACCTGTCAGAAATCACTTTTTTCAGCCCTCTGGGTAGTCCTTTTGTGCACATGGACTACTCAGAGGGCTGAAAAAGTTATTTTTGACTGGTCCTCGCACTTTTGACCAGTCCTCGAACTTACGATGTCCTCACATTTTACGTTTTTGCCTTATCTTGTCACCATAATGAAGAGAAGCAGTTGTGAAATAAGTGACATGGTTGTTAAGAATGCCGCAACGGGCATAAATGTGAGGATGGTCATAAGTGCGAGGACAGGTCAAAAGTGTGAGGACCAGTCAGAAATGCTTTTTTTCAGCCCTCTGAGTAGTCCCTATGCACATAGCCACGCCCACCCGGTCACATGACCAGCTAACCATGCCCATCAGGTCACATGATCACCAAGCCACATGCCCAACTAAGCTACGCCCACAGAACTGGTTGTTAAAAAAATTGAATCCCACCACTGTATGTATGTATGTATTCACACATACACACACACATATCTTCATATACATGAAGACTGACTCCAACAGATAAGGAGATTGGGGGGGAAAATCTCCCAGAGAGTTTACATAATATATATGGACTGCAGGAATAATCAAAATATATCAACAAAACTGCTCTTATACAGAAAAACTACTCTGCTGCTTGTGATAAGAAGGTAATCTGCTCGGAATGCTATGAAAAGAATCGTCTACATTCAGCTGCATTACCCCCTCTTTTTTACATCAAAACTATTCTACTGAATCCTTTAGGAAAGACTTCAGGGAGGTGCAGAAGCAGAAAAATTAGGCAGACAAATATTCTCACAGTACACACAAATATTCTTTGTACTCAATTTGTATCCTAAACCTTATTTCATATACAGTTTCTTTCATATACAGTTTAGATAACCTAGCTCTTCCTTCCTCTCATCTATCGCTCTTGAAGTTAACAAATAGTTCATGTCAGATCTGCCATTATCTCATCATTTTTCAACACGGGACAGCTAGATACAAAGATGCTTTTTTGAAGCTATAAAATGTTCCAATAAGCATGGAATTCCAAAAAGGAAACAGAGACAGAAAAATTCAGCTGAGAACAGGAGAAAAACATTACAAAATACAAAATGTAAATGCTAATTAGTAGCCTCGTTATAGGATTGATTCTCCAAATAGAAGTTATGTAGGCTGCAGCATAATTAGATTTCAGTCTGCACAGGTGGCTTCATGTTCTACTCATATAAACATAGTTTTCTTAACATATAATGCATTAGTAGAAATGCAGTTAACTGAAGTGCAGTAAAATTAATACTAGTTGTCCATATCCGAACTGGATAGAAGAGAGATAACAGCATAATCTTGCAGCTGTGACTTGATACTATATAGATTTATGTTATTGAAGATGCTAAAATCTAACTTTCAGCTGTATGATGAGGAAAAATAATTAAGGTAATTGAACAGCTCCTGAAGCGCAAGTAAGAATATCCAAGACTCAGAGGACCACAGTAACAAGAGCAAATTTAGATTAGCCGGGAAATGCAGAAAAGCTTGATATAGAAACTAATTTCTATTATTATCCATATCAATATTATTAATTATTAGGAATAACATAATATTCCTATTCATCACACATATAGTCTTCATTCTAGTTCAGTATTTGATAACATGCATATCTACATGTTTTTTGTTTGTTATTAATTTACAAGTAAAGCTTTGAAACACCATTTCAAATACTGTGCCTCTTCAAAACTTAAATATAGATATTGTGATTATTACAATTCTTCCACCACATAAATTGATCACATCTGCCCATATCTTAATAAACAATTTATAACATACATCACAATCCAAATAAAATTGGCATTATTAATCCAGATAAATATGTCAAAAGATCATATACTAGATTCCTTGTAAACAATAAAATCCAACTCATGGACCTTGTTATTATTTTACCAATTTGAACTACTAATTCAAAACAAGTTAGATACTTTAAAGTCTGTTTTTTGGGAGGGAGGGAAATAAAACACTCTTTTATTGTAGCTCATCTTGTTATGGATATGGATGGAAGAGGGTTTTAAGATTGTTTGATTCTGGTGATTCACCAGTTAAATATTTTAATTAATTCAGAAATACTAAATCTGCCTGCACTTCAGTTTTTGGCAATAATTGCATGCTGTACATGGTTAAGGGACAGCTAGTATAACAGCAACTCACTTTAATGATCTAAAGCTGTCCTCTGACCCTACATGGTCATTTGCAATTACTGAAGCTCAACAGTATGTGCTAAATTATACTGACAATGCTGCCACTCTTACAACATCTTACATACATCCCTCTTTGCTAATAACTAAACTCATGGGATTAGACAATTTACACAGTAGACTTCAGTAATGGCATTAGCTCCTAAAGGTATGCATCTAATGAGAATTCTGTCTCATTTAACCGTTGTGCCCCAGTTGAAGTATTTTCATCAAGATGTCAATTGTTGCCTGAAACGTTTTTCAACTTTTATGAGCCTTCAGAAAATATATGGGTGGTGCTTTATCAAATGCTTCAATTTCTACAGGTCAGTCTTGGGAGAATAGTGAATCAAGAAAAGCTAAACTGTTGCTAGATATATATTTATATTTATCCATGGGACATCTCGTTACATATTGTTATAAAATATCTTTGTATATTTTACAAATTTATTAGGTTTCATTCTGGTGTTCAGCAGAATTCCCAAGTAGAACAGATATATCTAAGATAATGGAAAAAGACATTGTTTTTAGACTCAAGTGAGCACATAGCTGGAAGATAGTTCACAACACTCAATTACATTCTTGGTGCTTATTACTAAGAAACCAATATGCCACAAGTTTAGGGGAATTTTTGGTTATCATCTATAGCAAGGAAGATAAAATAGTGGCCCTAATTATATTAACAGATCTAACATAATTAAATGTATAGTTAAAATTGGTATTGATGCGACTATGTTTTATTTATGGACAACCACATCTCCGAAGCTTGAAATTAAGATATAAACTAAGCAATAAAGAAAATGAAGCCTAAAAGTCACTGAGGCACTGAAAATATAGAAAAATTGCTAAGAAATGTTATACAATTTGCAGTTTTTTAACCAGCTTAAACACCTTCAAAAAATTACTATGCCATGATTCTATGAAGATAGCTAAACATTAATTCATACTAAGTCTACCTCTTTTTTTTTGAACCGTTAAGAAATGAATGTCAACTATAAGCTATAATAAATTATATAGATTTTAAGATACGTGATTCTTTATAATTTAAAAAGCATTTCTGAAAAAGGAAGGTGCAATTTCTCTCTAGATTTCTTAATCCTTAATAAAAAGCATATTTCAATCTATAAACCTATGTATCTGATACACGACTCAGCAAGATAGTTAATGTGTTCATTGGAAGAAAGGCTGGGAATGGCAAAGAAAAATAATATAGCAGTTTGATAGAAGTGATAAATAGGCTAAATCAGGAACAGGAATAGGGATTAGGAACTCATCATGGAAGCACAAATAAACCCAACAGAACACAGAGGAACCATCTGGCACGCTGCCCTGCTGTGAATCTTCTTTTTCTGCACTGCTAGAAATTGCTGATACAAAATGTTCTGACAAATCAAATGGATATCAACAAAAAGTAAACATGGCAGGTTACTTCCGAACCATTAAAGAATTTAGAAGAAACAGGTCAATTTCACCCAAGTTTTCAAATAGAAAGTCATATTTGAATATGTCAAAGTCAAATAGGAAGGACTGGTATATGTTAGTTTGTATGCATGTTATTGCTGGATTTGATCATTAAAATATGCAAATTCATGTATAAGTTTTTATTTATTTATACAATTGATATAACCACCTCTCTCAATGCCTATATTGTGAAAAATAGTGACTATAGACAGCTTACAGAAAATTAAAACAAAAAACAAAATGTGAGGTAAACAATACACAAAGAAACCATAATATGGCTGGAATAAAAAAAAATGAGGAATAAAACTGAGAACATTCAGATTTTTAATGCTTTATGAAAAGCCAACAGGATTGGGGCCTACCAGGTCTCTGGGAGGAGGTTGTTCCACATGCAGGCACAACTATAAAAAGGTCCAACTCCTTGGACCTGTAGACTGACCCTCTCTATTAGAAGGGACCTGAAATTAATAATATTAAAATATTAATGCCCAATAATTTCATGTTGTTTTTAAAAAAGACCCAAGGCTTTAATTTTATTTCTACATGATGCATAGTATTAGAATAGAAATTGCCTAAATGGCCCCCTGAACCTCTATGATGTCATGATTGTAAAAGTGAATGCAAAAACTGACTTTTTTATGCTTTTTCTATTTGTCATTTTCAAATGCATATAGGTGGATTGAACCATAGAATTTTGCAAAAGCTGAAACTGAAAGAAACATTAAAAGTTCATTTTAACACTAATTATTTGAATCCTTATACTTTAGGGCAGGGCTGTCAAACTCCCAGCCCACGGACCGGATTCGTCACACACTGGCCACACCCACACCTGGTTTAGCGAAGGGGGAAAAAGTCCCGATACATCACGTGACACCACCGTGATGATGTGAGTTTGACACCCCTGCTTTAGGGGAAAAATCATTAAAATTATATAAGACTGCTACTCAAAGTAATGACCTTGGGGATGGAACAACAGACAGCAAAACCAAGTAGAAAAAAAAATGCAATATAACATCATAACACATTCAAAGGCTATATTCAGGAAAACTATGGCTTGTCATTTACAAGCATGAGCTTCAGATTTCCTTTTCTCCTCCTCCACTAACTTCTGTCTCCTCTGGAACCTTGCAGAAAATAAAAAAAAAAATTCATTTCCACTTTCAATTTACTATACTGCTCTTTGATATTTTGTCTAAATCTAGATAAAAGGTTTGTACTATGATTTATTTAAACAAACAGATTTCAAAATATAGCTTATGGCTTGTTTTAAGTATAACTAAGAGCACAGATTTTACTCTTAAGTCATAATAATATACAGACTTAATAAAACTGGAAATGCTACTTTCTGGTTTTCGGCTCTCAGCTGCTGCAGAGGAGGAAATGTTAGGAGATTCAAAGGTGAAAACACTCAAGGTTTTTTTACAATTCATGGTAGTTTAATACCAGCATGGAGTCACCAACTGTTGGTGACTTTTATTGCAGAGAAGAATAAAAATGAAAGAAAATTATGATAATTTTTAGATCTATTCATAGTGACACTTTATACAATAAGGTTTTTTTAGCTAATCGTAGCTATTTTCAGTACTATTTTTTTCCAGCAATTTTAATGCTGCATTTGTATTGTGTTGGTGGTAAACTGGTTTACTCTGTAATACAATAAAATAAAAAGCAATAACCAAAATAATGATGTATTTCACTGAAGAAATTGTTTGAATATTTAGCAGCATAGATAATATATAATGATGACTTTTCATATATTGAGCATAAAAAGCTCCAAGCATAAATTTAATCAAATAACAATGCAGTGCATTTAATTTTTTGTTGATTACTACTGATTACTGTTCTCATACTCACATAATGCTCACTGATTCAATCAAAAGCCATTTATATGCAACTGAGAAACATATTGATATCTCCAGCATCACTTTTGTCACTTGTGCTTTGGAACCTTGCATCTCCTGGCTTCTTCAGGAAACGGATGGGGGTATTACTGACTGTATCCAGGAGATTGTCGATGCCTCTTAATAATAAAGGATGATGTCTCTAGGCTTGGAAGATGATATGATCTGTCCCTTCCTAAAGAGGCACTTCCTAGAATTGGCCATATTTGAAAACTATAGTCCAGTCTCCAGTATTTCCTTTTAAGGAAATATGTTGTGGTGAGAATTCAGCTGCTAAGAGCTATATGAGAAATGGATGATTTGGATTCCTTTCAGTCAAGATAAAGTAATGGGCATGGAATGGGATTGATCTTGCTGGTAGGTAATAAAGAAAGGAGCAGTTTCTGAAACCATATTACATCCTTCTGGATTGTCTGCAAAAATTTGGAGAGGCACCGTCTTCCCTATTTAATGGATGGTTCCAAACCCACCTTAATAAACAACATCACTGAGGAAGAAAGGTTGGGTCTCTGGTTCCATGAGGCAAGTAGGAGGCAAGCACTTCCCTTGGGGAACAGCCTGCATCTTAAGAATCTTCACAGCTCTTTCCAAATGAAATGTGGGTTTTTTTTATATCTTCTGCTGGTGCACACCTCATCTCTTATCAATTTTGTTGCTGCAACATACTCAATATGGAAATGCTTTTGCACCTGAAAACTGCAGCCAGCACAAACTGCAATGGTCCATTTACAGGTGGGTGTGACCATCATGTGTACATTAATACTTCAGGCCCTACATTGGCTACTAGATGTGTGGATGAATTTCAAAGTACTATTTTTTATCTATAAAGTGGACACAGCTTTGCACCAAAGTACCTACAGGAGTATCTTTTCATATATGAATCAGCCCATTTGGTAGCAATAGCAGTAGCACTTAATCTTATAGCTTCATAGTGCTTTACAACCCTCTCTTTCTCTAAGCAATTTACAGTCAGCATATTGCCCCCCAACAATCTGTGTCCTTGTTTTATCGGCCTCGGAAGGATGGAAAGCTGAGTCAACCTTGAGCCGGTCAGAATTGAATTCCTGGCAGTGAGCAGTGTGTTAGCTTGCAATACTGCATTCTAAACACTGTATTCACCATGGCTCATGGTAATTCTTCACATGAAATTTTTTTGGAGAGAATGTACCCTAGGAGGTACTGCTTCTCATTAGCTGTTTTGGCCTTGTAACATACTTTCTCACAGTAAAAACATTCATGCTGTCTTGTGGATGTCTAGAATTTTTGCAGGAGCACTGATGTAGATACACTCATCATGTTTCCATCTTATCTCTTGATAAAAGGGGAAGTTTAGTGAACAACAGTACATGGTGAGACTTATATAAGTAATATATACTGCTCAAAAAAATAAAGGGAACACAAGCAGAAGACATCCAAGATCTGAATGAATGAAATAGCTTATTAAATACTTTGTTCTTTACATACAGTAGTTTATACATTGCTCAAACAACTAAAGGGAACACAAAACTACTGTATGCTCAAACAATAAAGGGAACACAAAACTACTGTATGCTCAAACAACTAAAGGGAACACAAAACTACTGTATGCTCAAACAACTAAAGGGAACACAACTACTGTATGCTCAAACAACTAAAGGGAACACAAAACTACTGTATGTAACGAACAAAGTATTTAATAAGGCTATTTCATTCATTCAGATCTCGGATGTCTTCTGCTTGTGTTCCCTTTATTTTTGTGAGCAATGTATTTCCACATGTATATTCTATAATCAGCTTTTTCCCATTTTATCAGTCTTCTCCAGTACAAGGTTGCAATTTTGTTTTACATTCTTCATAAAGTATTTATTTCCTAGCATATATATATAAAAAAAACAACCTAAGGACATTTTCATATTTAATGTTAGATAAAGTAACTATTTTTTTCTGAAACTAGGAATCATAGTTTTAATATAGCATCGTAGTAATCAGTACTGCTGTACTGAAGCATAAACAAATGTCTATGGCCCAAATAAATATTTTAAATTATATCTTTAAATGCCTCAACATTAAAAATTGTGTTTTGTAATCCTGAAATATCCTAATATAACATTTTATTTCAGTATCTAACATGTTAAGAAATAGACTTCTGAGAAAAGGAAAACATCGAACAATCCCCTGAAGTTTAAATGTTCCCAAGTAAAAGGTATCCTATTCTTGAATTCAGTAATAGGCAAGAACCATCTGTACAAATTCCTGAGAAAAACCTATTATCTCACCTTTAGCTTCAAAGAGAAATGAAAATAATTTTTAAAAATTTTTGGAAGACTTTCAATGTGTTCACATTTTTTCCTGTTACTTAAGTTTTGAGTCTTTTACAGCAGTAAACCTGTGCTATACTGACTATTTTAAAGCTGGAACTCTTTTAAATGATTCCCATTTGATGACTTCATTAGAGTAATATCAGATTATGATGCCTCATTACTTATAGGAGAGTATACTCTGAAATGTTTTTAAAATAATGAGGCACAAATTTATAAATCATAAGAAATTTTGTTCATTTTGTTTTTTTAAACCATTAATTCTTTCTTCATTGTATTACTCTTTTCACCAAGAGATGACTTGTTTACATATAATTGCAATAAAACATAGATCAAAATATGATCATTAAAAGCAAAGACAAAAAGGTGACCCAAAAATTAAGCAGCAACTTTAAAAAAAAGTTCAAATACCAAATAACAAGAATATCAATTCACTTAAAGTTTAAACTTATGACATTTCCTTTTATAGATTGATAGATAGATAGATAGATAGATAGATAGATAGATAGATAGATAGATAAGAACTTCCAAAGGAAAGGAAAGACCAAAAATAAAGGATGTACTTCTCACAAAAAATTCTGTAAGTGAATCCTTCACCAAGCAATCTTTCTCACAATCTCAAAATCTGCTTCAGAGGTACACCATATCCCCAGATAGATTATTAGGGTGTGTGAAAGTCTGCCAGACTTTTTAAATAATGCAGTAATAGAAGACAAAGCAGACAGAGGAAGCATATGATTTTGGAGTCCTTTATTTATTCATTGAAAATCGTTAAACTATCACAAAACCATTGCCTGAGATTTTATCATTCTCCTTTGCTTCTTTTGTTGCTATTTTTTTAATAAATTTTGTCTTAATGATGCTATTCAAATTATAGTGCAATCTGGCATTTAAAAGATGAGTAATCTCAAAATTATCTTCTACAGCTATTGGGCTTGTTTATTAGGAACTGCAGTTAGGATGTTTTTGTTGTTGTTTTAATAGCACCTGTTGTTTTCTAGGACACAGGAAACTGTAGGACAGAAACAAACACAAATATTTGTTCAGACTTTCACACGTTTATAATGAGATATAAATGCTAGAGAAATTAAATCTCGGTTGAACAATCTTGAATGCATCTATTCTACAAGCGAATAATCAGTTGTGTTTCAAACCTTTTATTCTGCTCTTCAAAGTATAAAAATCCACAGCATACACAAAGGCCATGTTTAACAGTTTAGTGCACTTTTAAAGGCACATTTGTCTCAGAACACTTATGTGGAAATAAAAGAACTGGCAAGGGGTCAGGCAACATTCTAAATCTAACAATTATTTACTACATACCAGGTTGTTAAGATTTTTCTCCCTTTTTTTTGCTTGGGACCAATTGTTTTCAAATTATAAATAGACAATATTGTCCTAAGTGCTGTAAAAGGATCCTTACAAGCTCACAACTGTATTGTAACACTTGTGAGTCCAAATAAGGTCCAAATATTCCTGGCACTATTGTTAAAAAGATAATTTACTGAAATGTACTATCCTATTCAGTGAAGGGCTTTTATACACAAGGATGTCTTCATTCATATTATAATGCTCATGTTTTGAAAAAAAAGTTTACACAGATAACCTTAGAGAGGGCATAAAAGACTGAAGATTTTTTTTCAATAAGTTACTGCAATTAATATGGATTTCAAATTCTGAATTTAGCATTATTTTCTTTAAAAAAAAAGAAAGAAAATCTGCCAGTGCAACAAATCTTAGACCTGAATTTTAAGATTTAAAATTATAATTAAGATATACAGTACCAGATTTCTTGATAATTGAATTTTATGCCATTACTTAAGGGTGACTCTATTGACTTAACTCTCAGATCTTCAAGGAATATACATTTTTGATCAAGCAGCAAAAAAGAGAACTCCATGCAGTACAAATATTATTTTGGTTCATATGCCTTCCTTGAAGCATTAGCTCTCTATAGTTTCCCTAAAATAAAAGTAACTTTCCTTAATTTTTATTAAAAATAACCATACTAAATGATTCTCTCCCAACAGAACTAGGTATTCCCATGAGGTGTCCAAAAAAGCCTTATTGTTTGTGCCTTGAGGAAGAATTCTGGATTGACTTGTTCTGTGAAATGTGAAAATATTTACAGACCCCTTGCATCCTGGACATGAACTGTTTCAACTTCTACCCTCAAAACGATGCTATAGAGCACTGCACATCAGAACAACTAGACACAGGAACAGTTTTTTCCCGAATGCCATCACTCTGCTAAACAAATAATTCCCTCAACACTGTCAAACTAGTTATTAAGTCTGCATTACTATTAATCTTCTCATCATTCCTATTACCCATCTCCTCCCACTTATGACTGTATGACTGTAACCTTGTTGCTGGTATCCTTACGATTTATATTGACTGTTTCCTAATATGATTTGATTGCTTATTTGTTCCCTATGACTATCATTAAGTGTTGTACCTTATGATTCTTGATGAATGTATCTTTTCTTTTATGTACACTGAGAGCAGTGCACAAGACAAATTCCTTGGGTGTCCAATCACACTTGGCCAATAAAGAATTCTATTCTATTCTATTCTATTCTATTCTATTCTATTCTATTCTATGATCCAATTGTTTGTTATCTCAGCTCTCCATGGTATTCTTAGGAATCTTCTTCAAACCTAATTCAAAAGTACCAACAGTCTTTCTATCCTGGCTTCTTGAAAGTCCAACTTTCAGTTCTCCTGAGTGTCAGAGATGAAACCATTACCTGTTGAATTCCACAGGCTAGATACATGATAATTGAATACATTTTCAAAGTCTTCTTTGGTACCCTAGTAAGTGCTAGTCTGTTGCACATTTTGATTCCTGGTTCCTTCTTATGGTTGATCAAAACAAAGCTATCTACCATTTAAATACACTGCTCAAAAAAATAAAGGGAACACAAGCAGAAGACATCCGAGATCTGAATGAATGAAATAGCCTTATTAAATACTTTGTTCGTTACATACAGTAGTTTTGTGTTCCCTTTAGTTGTTTGAGCAGTGTATAAACTACTGTATGTAAAGAACAAAGTATTTAATAAGGCTATTTCATTCATTCAGATCTCGGATGTCTTCTGCTTGAATTCCCTTTATTTTTTTGAGCAGTATATAATCCTTCCTTACAACTCTGTCAGTTCTAAGGTTGGCTGATGGACCTATTAGAATGACTGTGGTCTACTTTGCATTTAATCTTATGTTTCCTGTTTTCATTCTGTTTGACTTTTATTACTAGAGCTCCAAATCATTTGTATTTTCATCTGTAAGAGTAATATCATCAATATAGTATAGGTAGTCCCCAACTTACGACTAATTTGTTAAAAGAGTGGTTTGGGTGACACTAGCAAAATGTATCAGATGACTAAGTACAAAGAGTCAGAATTAATTCTCTAACATAGAATTAAAAAACTGCAATTTAGTGAAGATTTCACAAGGTTTGGGTTTTAGCTTTGGCACTGGGGCAGTATTTTTTAACAATTTTATTAATGACCTGGAAGATGGTAGGGATGAGCATTTATAAAATTTAAGTTTAGCAGAAAGTTGAGAGATCTAGCCAACATGCAGTATGACAGCAGATTTTAGACTGATCTGGAGAAATTGGTAGACTGGACTGAAAGGAATAAGATGTCTTTTACTAAGGAGATACATAACGTATTTCATTTAAGGAGAAAAAAATGTAGGACACATGTGTACAAAATGGGGAATTCATGATTTGGAAACACAGAGAAAGATTTGGATGTGGTCATTGATAACAATCTCAACATGAAAGACCAACACAATACTGAGCTGCAGTAGAAACAGTGTATGAAGGAAGCATGAAGTTATCAGTGTTCTCTACCTGGCATTGGTGAGACCACACTTTGAGTACTGTATATGATTCTAGGCATCACATTTACAGAAGGATATTGACAGCTTGGAGAATGTTCAGAAAATGACAACAAACATGATTCAGAGACTTCAGGATATCCCCTACAAGATAATAGATTAAAGGAGTTTACAATGTTTAGTTTGGAAATAGCCATGTTCAGGTATATAAAGGGAAACCACAGGGAACATGATCAAAAACTACTTTCCATAGAAGCTAGAAGCAGAAATAGATAATATAAGTTATTCCCTAAATTTCAGTTAAATATAATTCTTTTTAAAAATCTTCCTGATAGATCTATACAACTGTGGAAGAGACTATCTGTGGGTTCTCCACCTCTGGAACAGATAAGACAGCCCTTATGGAAAATTAGTTTTCATACTTTAGAGGGTTGAACTAGATAATCTTCAAGCCTTCGTGGACTTCCTGTGACATCACATGACACCCCCCCCAGGAGTCCACAAACCACAGATTGAAAACCACTGCTTTAAAGCATTGGAAGATATTTAACAGTCATTTTGTCTATATATTGTGCATTGGTATCATCTGATTCCTAAAATAATGGCTGGTACTTAGAAAATGTAAAAGCTAAGCATTTAACAGTGCTGTTAATAACACAGCCAATGAAGAAGTAATTTCAATGCATTTTGAATCAAAATATTGTTATACCCTTTGCCTCATATGCAAAAGCCAGGGCAATATGGAGGCAAACATAATGCAGGGAGACATAAATAAGCTCTGTAGTACTAATTGGACACAATACTGCAATCTGCAAAATTGATTAACACCCCCATTCTCAGCCTGGGAAATGCAGTGGCAGAATTAGGCATCTGAATATGCATGGCTTCTATAATTACAACTCTCTTTAAAATCTATTCACTTGATCAAATTGTGTTTCACATTATTGTGATAGCTCTGCATGCCTTGGAAAATAGTTATATAAAATGACTATATACAGAGAAAGCATCCTACAAATCAATCCATGTATACACAACAGTAAGTTCACTTTTTTAAAAAATAGCAATCTGGAAACACTATTAGGTTTATTTTGCAATTTGATTTGATGTCTTGGGGGAAAGAGCTTGATTTACTTTGGACTAGATTAGTAGATCATCAACCCACAAACTCAAATAACCCTTCAGGGTGGATGGTGATAAAAAAGCAAACTAAAATGAAAGTCCAGGGCCATAAATTGCATTAAGATCAGGGTTTGCTAAGGCTGCGCAAGACAATTGAAAGAGGTGCCTCACAAACTGTAGCAATATATACAAAATATTTTTTTAATCATTGTAACAGTCACTTTGTTTGCAAAGCTCACTTGGCTACTTCACATGCAAATATAGTCAGGGACAACTATCAAATCAGTCATAAAAGTCTTGCAAACTGTCTTATTTGCTTTAAGGATTCAAAGACAGCTGTTTCCAAATCAAAGTCCCATGCTCGCTCAGCAAAGCACTGGTTTCAAGTGCTTTGTACAATCACATTATTTACTAAAGTCATACCTATATGTATTACCAAATACAAACTTGCTTGTATTATATATTATTGTAAACTGCCATAAGTCAATTATGATTTTGCTGAATATAAACTGGATGGATGGATGGATGGAGAGATTAAGAATATCCCTCCCTTTCCAAATACACAAAATTCTTAGTAGAAGCAACAATAACATTTGCTAAGGCAATTACAAATAAAACATGGTTATTAATGAGAGCATGGTCTTTGTTTATAGTGAAAGCAACTGAATCCTTTCAGAGTGAAAAGTACAGTGTTTGCTGTTGTTGGGGGGGGGGGAAACCAAGGACAGATTGAATCATTAGATAATTCATTTCTGTTTTTGATAAAATCTGTGTATTTGTGTGCTATTACAATCAATAACTGCAAAACACAATCCCACTCACCTTATATACAGCAGGAACAATTTGGTGCATTTTTAGCCTATGAAATACAAATACATCATAAACCGCTGACACTGCCAACACGGTCACTCCTTGCTCCTTCCATAACATGCTGCAAGTGGCACACAGACCGGCACCCAAGATCCAGCCCCAGGTTCCTTCTGAGTAGTTTCTTGTACAGCAGTGTTTAATATAACAGACTAGGGAGAGCAGAAAGAAAAGGCAAGCTCCAATATCAGCTCTTCCCACAATCCCTGCCACTGCTTCAGTGTGAATGGGATGAGAAGCAAACAGCAAACCAGCTAATAAGGTCCAGTGTCCATCACCAAACAGCACTCGAGAAAAATTAGTGAAAAGACCCGTGACTGCTGCATGTAGAAGGACATTTACAAGATGGTAACTCCAAGGATCCATTCCTCCAATAGCATAGTTAATGCGAAAAGAGAGTGTGCAGAGAGGTCTGTAGGATTTATGGCTCCCGCTGTGGGTCAGAAGAGTGCCCCAAAAGTCATTATAGAATAACTGCGTCCATGGTGTTTCAGGAAGAAGATCTTGGTTTGTCTTGATTGCTCGGCTAAAAAAACAAAACAAATATGAAAATAATCAAACTACATGACAACAATAAATAGGATTGCTAAAGAATATAACTGAAATTAACAAATTTATTTTCCAGTTTGACATGAAATTAGCATAAAAAGGTACATTATCAAGCATAGTACTACTTCCTCCATTTTAAACTCTACACAAGTAGTGATAGAAGTGCTGCTTCTACTAACTTTTCAATTCAATAAATTTCCTCATCAAACTGGCTTTTCAAACCTTGGAAACATAGGATACATTAACTTAAAACAATTCATTCATCTGAGCCTAATCCAGAAGCAATCATTGATAAATTATAATTATGATGTAAAAGAAATATAATTAACTGAAAAAAATGTGATTGAAATTTACAGATAAATGTCTCAAAAAAGAGAACTATTTAATATGAGTAGGAAAGGTAGCTAAAAGTTTATAGATTTGAAGGTCTATACTTTGGTTCCACATGAAGTACATATATAATTTGCCTTTGGTATCCACATATTTTAGGCAACAGATTGCCTCCTATTCTTCTCTTTGAAAATTTCTCTACAATGAAAACGATTGCACCAGAGGGTCAGAAACCTTCAAGTTGCTGATGGAATGATTTCCATTACTGGAAACATCCCACTGGATTTTCTCTCAATTTATAGAAAAGCATACTAAATCATTTTAAACTGAATGATAAGTTCTGCTTTTTTTAAAAAAAAATTCAGCCATCTGATTGAGGATGAAAGAAACATGTTCTTCCTGTAAATTGATAAATATTTCACACATACACACTATACTTTTTAAAGCAGAATTAGGAATCCTATGATCTCCAAATTTATTTATTTATGTGATATTTCTTCATTTTCTCTGACTCTTGAGGTACATGTTTAGTCAAAATGTGATAAAATACTATATAGAAGTACTGAATGACGATTCAGTAATGCATCATAATACAATATTCATATTTCATAATACAATATTCATGGCATGGATAGTTCACTCAATAAAAGAAATCATTAAAAGCCTTCTGTACAAACAGGTCTTGATGTATTCCAAAAGGTCATGACAGCCATAATAGGAAGGACTGTTCTCTACAAATATTGCCTATCCCCTCTGACCAAATGTCCAGGTGTGGGAAGGGATTTACAGCAGCACTTTTGATTTATATTTGTTGGGCACATTGATTTTACTTGGGATACGTACTCTCAAACTTTCCCAGATCCCAACCCATTAGAATTTTTTAAGTAACAATCAATACCTTGAATTACATATAAGACATGATAATATAGTATTTGGCTTGTAAGCACACATACATTTTGGCATCAGTTGAAGTGTTCAAGTGATCGAGTTCACATACCATCCTGTTTTAGGAAAAGTCAAGTATCTAGTCTGCTTCTTCTAGAGTTCTTAAAGAGGAAGTGAACCAGATTTCCTCTGAGATTATCTACAGCAAGAATCCATCTCTTCATCCCCTATCTTGCAGATGGCCAGATGCAGAAGTGGGTGGTTTCACAAGATGTCAGCTCTATCAAATGACTGCACTAATTTTCAATCTCTCTTCCTCTACCATCACCTACTTTCCCATTTCCACCATATTTTCCTTTCCTGATTTACCCATATGCCTCCATGTGAGAGAGTGTCACTGGCCCAAAGTCACCCAGCAGGTTTCATGCCTACAGTGGAACTAAAAGGCATGATCTACTGGTTTCCAGTCTGGTACTATAACTACTGCATCAAATTGACCCTCACAGTTAGTTGTGAAATAAAAAACAACTGTGGGTTTGGTTGCTTATAACCGGCAGTTTCTTACTGGAATGTATTAGTAGTACAGATAGTCATCAATTTACAACCACAATTGAGCCAAAAAAAAATTGTTGCTAAGTGAGATATATTTGTTGTTAATTTTGCCCCAATTTACAACCTTTCTTGCCTTGGTTTTTAGGTGAATTAAGATTTACAAGGTACCAAATTAATACATCAGTGACTTGCTCCCTTTGTAGATTTAGCTTAATACAGGTAGTCCTGAATTTAACAACAGTTTGTTTAGTGACCGTTTGAAGTTACAATGGCATTGAAAAAAGTGATTATGACAATTTTTCATAATTACGTCCATTGCAGATCCCTCTGATCACATAATCAAAATTCAGACATTTAGCAACTGGCATGTATTTATGACAGTTGCAGTGTCCCAAGGTCATATGATCACCTTTTGTGACCTTCTGACAAGCAAAGTGAATAGGGAAGCCAGCCACAACCATATTACCAATTTAACAAGTGCAATGTTTTCTTCAACAAAAGTGTTTAAAGAAAACAATATCTGAAACTATTTGCAAATATGGTAAATGAAGAAAGCTGAATAAATATCTTTTCTTGTTAAATGCTTATTTGGGACTTTAAAAAATAAAGCATAAAAGAGAAAATAAGAAAGTTGCAATTCTAAACAAAATTCCAACTTCGTATCTAAAATACCACTGAAAAAGTATAAAGTCAAAGTTCAATACTGCTATCTCAGTGGTGGTATTATTAAGTACATTTGCACCTTATTACTTTCATGTATAATTAATATTCTCACTTTTCTGAAATAAAAATGCATTAACAAACTAAGGATTTTTTTAGCACTTAACAGTATTTTTTTTGCCCAGATCAAAAACAATGTTAAAAGTAATTTTATTAACATCTTGACAAGGCCTAGATGCATTTCTGCATAATATTCCAGATAGTTAATTTTTTCTCAAAAACATTTTTGACTGAAGGGCCAAACTAGCACCAGGTTAGTGTTATCACTCGGTTCTCTAACAAAAAGATTATCTTCTATAGCCATTCTGGTTATTAATCCAGCGTCACTAATGGGTATAATAAAAGAAATTATCCATGGGCTGTTTAATAAAAGATTCTAATCTCTGCTCTCTCTGAAAGGCAAAGTGTCTTAAAGAAAGTCATTTGTCAAAGTTCCAAGCAAGACTTGCATTTTTTATTTTTTTGTTAGGCAAAGACAGCATTTGCTGGCTCTGAAGGAAAGCCTACCTTTCAAGTTTTAATCACTCTTCATTTTACATATCCCAGGAGGAAAGTATGCCTTACTCATGATATCACTAATGGATTATATAGGGTTGTGGGAAATCAGTTATCACTGTTTTAAATAACTAAACTGTTCTGGTTGGTTTTTTTTTTTTTTTTTTGGTTTTTTTTTTGATGAAAATAAAATGATGGCAAACAACTTCCTATTGTCTCCTCTGAAAAAAGAAAACCATATGTTCAATGATCAATCAATATAATAGAAAAGTACAAGACGCTAAACAATAGAAAAAAAATAAAATACATAAAAATCCTTAGTTCATTCAAACTTGGAACTGTTTATGAGTGCCTCTCCTTTTGATAATCTTATTAAACTGATATTGATACCATGTATTCTGCAAGATTATTCCAAATTTATTGGAAAGCCTAGAAATTCACAAATATACTAAGTGCTTTTTCTATAATTTTTCCTACTGGAAAACAAACAACTCTATAGGGAAGAATTGTTCCAGTAGGCATGATTGAACTGCATCCTCATGAGGCTCCTCTAGCACAGGTTACCTCAACTCACCTTAATAGTGGGAAGATAAAATCCAAGGCTTCAACAATATCGTAGGTATTACAAAAGAGGATCACATCAAGGGGAACTATACCATTTATTCAGATTGACACTTGTCCTCTGCCTAGGTTCCATAGCCCTCATTTTTAAGAGTATTGCCAGAAAAAAAAAACAGAAATAGAAATGATTTCACAAAGTCTACCTACCTATAGAGCTGGCTGTCTAGAGATAATAGATGACAATAATCACTTCAATTAGAGATCAAAATATATTGTAAAAAAATGATTTTTAAAAGTTCAATCCATTATCTATTGGTGACTGGAAGCCTCTAATGGACTTTTGAGGGGAAATGGGGAAATATATTATATTTATATTTATATTTATTAAATTTGTATACCACCCTACTCCCGAAGGACTCAGGGCGGTGAACAGCCATAAAATAAAACATGTAAATACAAAATTTAAAATAGAGATAAAACTAATTAAATAAATTTGGCTGAAACATTTTAAAACCCCAATAAATTAAAACCAAATTTAAAATTCCATTTAAAAGAGGAAAAGTTTAGGTCAGGCCAGCTTGATAGAATAAAAACGTCTTAAGCGCGCGACGGAAGGTACGCAGATCCGGAATCCTCCGTATCTCCGGGGGGAGCTCGTTCCAGATCGTAGGTGCCCCCACAGAGAAGGCTCTCCCCCTGGGGGCCGCCAGTCGACATTGTTTGGCCGACGGCACCCGGAGGAGCCCCTCTCTATGGGAGCGTACTGGTCGGTGGGAGGCTATTGGTGGCAGCAGGCGGTCCCGTAAATAGCCAGGTCCTAAGCCATGGAGCGCTTTGAAGGTGATAACCAAGACCTTGAAGCGCACTCGGAAGACCACCGGGAGCCAGTGCAGCTCGCGCAGAAGAGGCGTTACATGGGAGCACCACGTTGCTCCCATCACCACCCGCGCGGCCGCACTCTGCGCCAGTTGGAGCCTCCGAGTGCTCCTCAAGGGGAGCCCCATGTAGAGAGCGTTACAATAGTCCAGATGGGAGGTGACGAGGGCATGAGTGACCGTGCGTAACGAGTCCCGATCCAGAAAGGGACGCAACTGGCGAATCAGGCGGACCTGATGAAAAATCCTCCCGGTCACGGCCGTCAAGTGCTCTTCTAAAGACAGCCGTGAATCCAGGAGGACACCCAAGTTACGAACCCTCTCCGTGGGGGCTAATGCTTCACCCCCAATAGTCAGCGATGGCACCAGCTGACTATATCGGGACGTCGGAAACCACAGCCACTCGGTCTTGGATGGGTTGAGCCTGAGCCTGTTCCTCCCCATCCAGATCCGTACGGCCTCCAGGCACCGGGACATCACTTCAAGGGCATCGTTGGGGTGGTCTGGGGTGGAGATGTACAGCTGGGTGTCATCAGCGTACTGATGGTACTCCACCCCA